TTAAAGCAATACTGTAAAATGATCACCCGTGAATGACTTAGCAATTCTCAGCAACACAATGATCCAAGACAACTCTGGAGGACTTAGGATGAAAATGCTATCCATGCTACCCAGAGAAAGAATTGATGGAGTCTAAATGCAGATCAAAGCATGCTTTTTAAAGTTCCTTTATTTTTCTTGGATTTTTATTTTGGTCTATGTTTTCTTGTACTGCACGATTAATATGGAAGTATGTTTTGTATGAGTATACACATATAACCTATATCAAATTGGAGGGAGAAAATTTGGAATTCAGTTTTAAAAATGAATGTTGAAAATTATTTTTACATGTAATTAGGGAAAAATAAAATACTAAATAAAAGACAAAAAAAAAAGAAAATCATCATTCTTTTTCATCAGATAAATTCGTGTCACTCCTCTGCTCAAAAATCATCAGTGGCTTTTAATTGCCTTCTGAGCAAATTTGAAACTCTCTTTCCTGACATTCAAGGCCCTCATAATTTTTGCTCAGTGCATGGAGTTAACAGAAGGGAGGAATATTTAGTTCATATTCTTCCCTTCCATTAACTCCATGCATCAAACAATCTGGACAAGTCCTAACCCGCTTCACCACTTTCCCTTCAACCTAGATTTGTATTGTTTTCTCAGGTTTTTTTTGTCCTTTGTTCCATCTTGTCATTCCATATGCCTGAAATGTTCTTTCTATCTTATCTTGTTGATATATAAACTGTAATTATTTTCATTGTATTCTTTTTGCAAATACTTATCATGAGCACTGCAGTACAAATGGACTTAAATATCCCTGGTCAGCAACTACTTTCTTCCTCAGATCTCACAGAAACCTGTTTCAACTTCCTAATTAACTGTCATGTGATATTGTATATTAGACCTATGTTGTTGTGTTGGTATCATCCCTCTACTACATGGACTGTATGCTCCTTGAGGGCAGTATCTAGTGTCTTAACTGTTACTTCGTGCTTAGAACAAAGCTTTGCAGAATAGTGACAATACATTTTTTTGTATCGCATCACATTAAGCACCTACTGTGTGCAGGGCTCAATGGCTACTACTGGTGATATAAAGGTAGAGAATGACACAGTCCTTGTCCTCAAGGAGCTTGTAATGTCTCTTGGGAGACTGGGAAATGGAACTTACACAGTCTGTAAGTAATAACAACAACAACAATAGCTGTCATTTATGTGGTGTTTTAAAGTTTGCAGAATGCTCTACAGCTATAATCTTATTTGTTCCTCGTAACAAGTCTGGGAGGTAGATGCTATTATGATCCCCATTTTATAGATGAGGAAACTGAGGCAGGCAGAAAGTTAAGTGACTTGCCCGGGATCTAAGTATCTGAGGCTGCACTTGAACTCAGGTCTTCTGGACTCCAGACCCAGCACTCTATCCACTGCACCACTGAGCCATTCCTGTGTCACAGGTGTTGGCTGAGGCAAGTATAATAAAAGGTACAATATGAGAGGGACAAAGTCAAAATCTAGACAAAATAAGAAAATTTGAGAGGGATAATTCCAGACCTGCTTTCCTCTTTTATGGCTTTCATGACCATTGGCGAATTATTTCCCCTTTCTGGCTCTCAGTTTTCTTACATGTGAAGTGAAAGGGCTAGACTCGATGACTTACTCCCAAGGACCCTTCCAGCTCTGGCTCTCTTCTCTCATTGCGTAATCACTTCTAGTGGGGGAAGATCAAGAGAAAGCTTCATGGAGAAGTGGTGTCTAACCCATAACTTGAAAGAGGGGGTTTTCAGTTGGTAGAGATGAGAGAACACATTCCAGGCCAGGGAGTTCGGCCTGCATCAGTGCCTGGGGGCCAAGGCAAGACTCGGAAAGGGGAGGCATGATAAGAAAGAAAGTTGGATGCATAGGTGCTCCACCACGTGGAAGTTCACCCCCGCTCCCAGCTTCTATGTGGGTTTTGTACTAAAGCTTGAGAACTAGCATATTGGTTACATCCTATCCAGAGTAGTTCTGGATACAGGACTCTTTGAGAAGAACAATGGCAACAGGGAATTTGTGGCATTGACTCATAGCCCCAGTGACCCTTGATTCAGCAGAGTGGTGTCTGCCGTCATATCTTAATTCAAATTAAAATGACCATTGAAAAATGTTACGGTTTTAACCTGGGGTCCTAATGTTTAGTTCAATTCAACAGACATTCTTTAAGTGCCTGCCACCAGGGCCTTAAAAGGCCCTGCGCTAGCCCCCCACGAATACAAACACAAAAATGAAGTCGTCTTTGTCCCCAAGGAGATTCCGGAGCATACAGAATATATGAAAGTAAGCAGACTACAAGGCAGCACGAAGAGAGGGAGGGAGCCTCTCAGGACTCCCTAGCATCCTATTTGCCTGTGACCAGCAGTGCTGTTTGCAGTCTGACATCTGACAGCCCAGATTCACATTTGCAAAGGGCTTTAAGGTTTATTAAACACTTTCCACACAATAGCCTTGCCAGGTAGGACATATTATTATCCTTGTTTTACAAATGACAAGACTGAAGGTCAGAGAGATTAAGTTACTTTGCCCATGTTCACATAGCTAGGATTTGATCTCTGCTCCCCTGATTCTGAGTCCAGCATTCTTTGTAGTAGGCCGCACAGGCCACCTCACCTTCTTAGAACTGCAGCCTTCACAGTTCCCAGAGAACAGCCCTGTGGAATCCTGTCAGCCACCAACTAATTGCCAGTTGCCAGGAAAACTCCTCCTTCATGGGGGGTGGGGGTGGGGGAGGCTTTTTATGGGCTCGATCTCACTTCCCTGAACTCTTTGCCTAATTGCTATGGGAAACAGTAATCTACCCTCCGCCAACTAACTGGAGAGAGGCGGTAGGCATTATATCTGAAAGCACAAGCCATACTGGGAATATGTCACACCTTCCCCGTTCCCATCCCTTCCACCCAGTGCCTGCTGGAAGCAACCCTAGGGAGTGATATAAGGGAATTGCCTATTGGCTGGTTACTTCCAGTTTCTGGGAATTTTTGATGGCTTAAGAATAATCAATGGTGCGAGCTCTTGCTTTCCAGAAAGCCTAGAGCAGGGAGAAATCATAACGTGCACACTGAAGCCAGTCCAAATAAAATGTGCATTGCCATATACATAATAGAAGAGAAAAGGAGGATTGTATGTGGAACTTGGAAGCTAGATAGTGCAGAAGTCAAGAAGATCTGACCTAAAACCCTTCCTCAGACACTAAGTGTATGACCCTGGGCAAGTCTCTTAACCTTTCTCAGCTTCAGTTTTCTCATCTGTAAAATGGGATAATAGTAGCACCTACCCTCACAGAGTTGTTGTGAAGACAAAGTGAGGTAATATATGTATAGTGCCTTGCAAATTGTGATGTGCTTATCTACATGCTAGCTATTATTTTAAAATCTCTTTTATATGTATATAAGTATATAATAAGTTTAGCCTGTAGCTTTCAAAGCTGTTCTGCTTGTCTGTGCTTCTTTTTGGGATTTCTTCTGTCGGAGCATATTTTTTTTAAAAAGGTGCCTCAAAGACCATCTTTCTTTGCTTTACTTTTTCTATCCTATCCCTATCTCCCTCACCCTCTAATCCTACCATAGCCTCCAGTTAGGAAAAAGAAAAAAGAAAAACAAAGTTCTTGTAACAAATGTTCGTAATCGGGTAAAACAAATTTCCCCATTTTCTGACTCTGATAATGTTTACCTTATTATGTAACCTGAGGCTATCACCTCTCTGTCAAGAGGTGGATAGCATGCTTTATCATCAGTCTTCTGGGATCACAGTTGGCTAGTGCATTGGTGAGAGTTCTCAACTCTTCCAAATGGTTTTTTTTAAATTTTATAATATTACTGTTATTGTATAAATTGTTCTCCTGGTTCTGCTCACTTCACAATGTATCAGTTCACATGAGTCTTCTAAGATTGCTTGGAAACACCTCATTTTGTCATTTCTTACAATCCAATAATATGCTGTTACATATATAAACCACAGTTTGTTTGGCTGTTCCCCAATAGATGAACCCCGTCTTGATTTCTAGTTCTTTGCCTTAACAGGAAATAAAAAAAATAAGCTTCTTTCTCGAAGAGGTGGTGCAGTACAGTGGATAGAGCACTGAATTTGAGTTCAGATCCCAGATCTACTACTTTACTACAAAACAGGATTATGGGCAAGAACCTCACCCTGTCTGGGCCTCAACTTCCTCATCTGTCAAATGAGGAGATTGAACTAGATAACTGAAGGTCCCCATGAGCTCTTCTATGAATGTATTCTCACTGGACAGACCCAGTGAGAACAAGGGTCCTTCCCTAACATTTCAAACATAGGGTTAAAAATAGACATAAATGTATCCATACACACAATTGTGGTAGTAAAACAGTGCTTTATGATTGCAAAGTCCTTTTCCCATATCTCCTTTTATCCTCACAACGATCTGCCCCTTAGTACTAGTAACATTCTACCCATTTTTTGTAGGAGAAATTGGGGGCCAGAGGGATTGTGATTTGTTCACAGCCAGAAAGTGGCTGAACCAGGTCTTGAACCCAGGTTTACCTGACTCCAGGTCTAGTATTCTTTCTAGTATCCTTTACAGTGTCTTTTGACAGATATATACATATATATGGAGTAGTCAGAGGAAGTAAATTAGCAGTAGCTTTGTTTTGTATTAGCCATTATTGGATTTGATAATCCTAATAGTTCAGTATTGTCTTAACCTTTTGGTGTGCTCTATGTCCATTTTTATTTATTGGTGCAGTGTAATATAAACCATGTGTGCGGCTTAAAATCAGAACCCCTGGCCCCAGTGCCTAGCAGCATTTTGACCTTTGAGTCTTGGGTTTGTGATCCATGAAGCAAGGCTGCTAGTGTTTACACTGCATGTCTCACAGAATGGTGATGAAAGTGTTTTGCAAACCTTAGGGTGCTAGAGGAATATGAGCTATATACTAAGATCTTGTGAAGTAAACAGTTTGGGTATTATTTAATCATGTAACTCTCGTTTCCCATATATGTCTGTTGCAGACATATAGCTTCTAGAGCGCCACAAGGAGGCTGAGAGGTGACACGGACCTGAGAGGTCAAGGTCGACATTGCAGCCAGTTAAGTAGTGGAAGAGAAGCTCAAGTTTGGCTCTCCTGACTTGTAAGTCTGGCGTCCCTTGTCCAACCTCAGGGTATCTCTCCTCCCGATAATCAAGTAGGACGGGACGTGGGTGGAATACTCCCTTTTTGTCCTTCTCAAGGAGGAAACTTTTTCTTCTAGGAAACCATCTTGCTTTTCTAATGTGAGATATTCCTTGGTAATTAGCAATAGTCCCTAGAGTGTCTCTCCTGATCACAGAGACCCAGCAGGTCTGCTGTTTCAGAGAAACTTCTTTAAGGGCTGAACAGAATCCGCTAATTTATCTGCAAACTTGGGTTTGCCCTGGGAAAATTATCCCAACTATGCTTGTGTAGTGTAAAGAGCACTGGAAATGGGGATCAGAAAACTTGTATGTAAGTCCCATTTCTTCCACTTCAATTACTGCGTACCCTGCAGCAAGTTTCTTACCCTTTCTGTGCCTCAGTTATCCCTATCAGTAAAATAATTGGGTTGTACTGAATGATCCCTAAAGTCTTTCCCCACTGTTTGTATTATGTGATTATTGGGGCTAACTTGGTGTAATATATCCATTTTGCCTTTAGATGTCACTGCTGCATCAACTTTCTGTGGCTTTGAAGCCTTACAGTCATTGAGTTCTAGAATGTTAAGAGTTGTAATAGTTCCTCAAGTCTTCCCCATTTTACAGGTGAGGAAACTGAGGTCCAGAGAGAGTCAGTGACTTGCCCCATCCCATAAAGGAAAGTGTAACACAACCAGTACAAGGAATTTTCTTAGATCCCAAAGTGAAATAAGAAACCTGAAAGTATGTGGATTTAGGGCCCAGCTGAGTGCCCAGTGTCCAGGTTAGGGCAAGTTGCATAGTAGATGCTGAAGAAATGATGTATCTTTGGTATTTTATAAACCTTAAAGTCTATGTGAATGTCAAGAGTTGTTAGTATTATTATTACTTGCTGCTGTTTTTGCGCATTGCTTTGATTGACCTTCCGGTCATATAGTCCTCACTTTAGTACACATCTTCAATACCTCTCAACAGGATTGTTCTGACAGCTTCCTAACTGGTCTGCCTGTCTTTGGTCTTTTTCCTTTCTAGTCCTTCCTGCACACAGCTGTCAAAATAATCTTCTTAAGTCACAAATCTTATGATGTCACTCTATAGTCAAAGAACTTTAGTGACTCAGACTCACAGACTCTCAGAGTTGGAAGGAGATCTCAGAGCTGATCTAGTCTAAACCATGCCTGAACAAGAATTGCTTGTTTATGATACTGGACAGTGGTAATCCATCAGTAAGGTCCATGATGATCTTTCCCCCCTCTCCTTCTCTCCCTCTTACCCTGTCTAGGCCTGTCTCCCTGTCTCTCCTAGGCTGGAAAGGCAGCACCCACTCAGGGTGCTGACCCCATCCCACTTGGCGCACCAGTTTTGATATGCTCCATTTCCAACCAGAGCTTGTTTGCCCTTCCTCAAGTAGCTGTGCTTTCCCCTCCTTCCCCTCCTTTCAGGGGCTTACTTTATTGGTGCTAGACTTATTGCAGACACCCAATCCGTTTTTAGCTCTGCCTCAGCCTCCCACTTCAGGATGACAGGTGTGCACTGCTGCCACCACATCCCACTGAGCCTTGGCTACCTTGTCCATGAAAGCTTTCTTGGGCCTTCCAGCTGAAAAGTGGTTTTTTTCCTCCTCCAGTTACCTTTGAATCTTTCTTTTGCCTCTATCATGCTCTTTCTTGCATCATGGGTAGATGTTGTTATTGCTCTTAGGAGACCATTGGTTCCTTGAGGGCAAAAGCAGCATTTTTTTTTCATCTTTATATCCTCAGTGTCTAGCACAGTACCTTAAGGAACTTAATAAATATTTGCTATTATTGAATGGAGTAGAGATTTTGGGAAGAGCCCTTCACTGGGATTCAGGAGACCTGGGTTTGAGTACATTGCTCTGCTACCTTTTTGGTATGAATTTAAGGCACTTAACCTCCCAGTTTCCTGCTGTAAAATGAAGATTTGGGGATTATCTGGCCTCTCAGTCCTAAATAATGTGCTAGAGTGGAAAGAGCATTGGACCATAGTCTTTAAGTCCCTCTCAGCGCCTTGGATTTCTCATTTGTAGAGAATAATAACATCAATGGTGCTATCTTCATGTTGTTGTAAGGATCAAATAAAACAATGCACATACATTGCTTTGTAGGCCTTAAAGAGCCTTAGCCAGCATTGGGCCTGGAGTCAGGAAGACCTGAGTTCCAATCTGTTTCAGACAATTACTAGCAATCCTAGGCAAGTCACTTAGCCTCTCTCAGTCTCAGTTTCCTTATATGTAAAATGGGGATGACGATGGTACCCACTTAATAGGATTGTTGAGGATAAAATGAGCTGATATTTGTAAAACACTTTGCAACCCCTGTAAAGCACTATATAAATCCTAAATAGACTGTGATGATGATGATGAGGATGATGATTTTGTCAGCTGTTATCTTTTGCGTTCTTTGTCTCTTCCCTTTCAGAGGTCTCAGTTTCTTCTTTTGTAAAGTGAAGGGTTGGACTAGTTGACTGCTAAGGCCCTTCCAACTTTAAAATTCTGTGATTCTCTGTTCTGGGGTTCCAAGATAAATACCCTCTATCCACTCTCCCAGGCTGAGGGGGTTGGGTTGACTTCAGGTCAAAGGAATGTGACAAGCATGTAGTCCTGGATAATTTCTTACAACTGCAAAAAAATCCCTTTTCATTTTTTTTTTTTCTGGTGAACAACTTCACTTCTATCTGAGTAGTGGCCACAAGGTGGCAGCCAGAACCATCCCACTCTATTATTTCTGGCCCACACCTACCCAAATCCCAGAAACACCACAGTCTAGACTAGCTAACAGGCCGAATTCTTCCCTTGTTAGGTAAGCCTGCATGTAGACGTTCACGATTCTCATTTCCAGCCATCATATCCCACTGTGCCTTTTCAAGACTTGCTCAGCCAAGGTGTCACATCACACCACTGAATGCTTTGAAGGCAGGAGGGGCCAGATCTCCCAAATGGGATGTGTGCATGGAATTTGTGTAAATGTGCACAGGAGAGAGCTGTTTACTCTTAACAAGTATCTTTTGAACTGCTGTGGGAATAAAGAGATTAAATGGTGCTCACATTCAGATACCCTTTAATTTGATGTGAAATTCTACCAGGTTTTAGAGTGGTATTTTTGCCAGCAGTTTGATAAGATTTGCTGGCATGTTGAATTCTTTCTAAGAACATTTCTTAAATTTCTCCCAAGTCTACCCCTCAAGCTGTAACATTGGCTTTGTAATTATATGGTTAAGGGTTGACCTTTCTCCCCTCACCTACCTGTTTCAAACTTGGTCATGGTTTTCCTTTGTTTTATGTCTGTATGCAATTCACAGCCTGTTTGATTTAATGTGTTAGTCTCAAGTTTAGTGTCCGAGAGACAGGTGTGTCTGCACCAGCAGCCGAACGAGGAACTGAAGCTGAGGAGAGAGAATCACAGGACAGGTTCTGTCTGTCTTGTGCTGGCTATGGTTTTTCTTTAGTCTTTTGTTTAATTTGTTTATTGAAAGAGAGTTAAGTATTTTGAAAAAAAATCAATAAAATTTGAAAATGTTTGAGTTCTTCAGAGGCTACAGGGTATTGTAAGTAGAAAGAGCACCAGGCTGTGAGGGTCCAGATTCCAGGACTAGCTGTGCAACTGATGTGCTGGGGGACTCTGGGCAGGTTGCTTCCTTTCTCTGGATGTCAGGTCCCCTACCTGTAAGAGAAGGAGGTTAGATTGAGTTGATTGCTAAGGTACTTTCAGCTCTGCTCCTCTGTTCTTATGTTCTAAATACCTGTGTCTGCCTTTTGGCTCTACCCGGGAGCAAGAACCAAGTAATGACATGCCAGCCCTAAATGTCTGATCTTATGAACCTGTTGTTTTGGAGTGTCCTAAGTGCTAAGATCTCTTCCAGCTCTGACATTTTCTGTTCCATCAGCCCTTCCAGGTATGAGGTGCCATGATTTCTGTGGTTCTGTGTCCTTCCTATTTGCCCTTCCCTGTGAAATGCTTAGAAAACTCAGACATCCCAAAGCAATATTGCTTCTGGTAAACTCATCGTAGCTCTCGTCTGAAGCCTGTAACAGGGGCATTGTCTTTAGCGTTGGAGCGGCAGATTTTTCAAGGGCAGCTGTGAATCAAGGCTGCCTCTTTCTCTGAGCTGTTGGGGTCTGTTTCAGCCAACCCAGAGTTCTTTGGAATCTGTAGTTGACACTGCCCTGCCCTGCTGCAGGGCCTGATGCAGCTTGAAGGAGTCTCTCTCCAAGTCTGTTGCAACATAAGAGAAACGTGGGAGGAGGGAGAGTGCTGGGATTGAGTACAGTTGGCTGTGGATGGCAACCTGCCAGCAAGGTCTGAGTAAAATTCTTGTTAGTCCCATTTGAAAAAACAAATAAATTTCCAAGAAAATGTTGAAGTGCTTCCTTGAAGCCTCTTGCAGTTAGCTTACAAGAGATAAATGTATTTCCCTAAATGAGTGTTTGATAGAAACTGTTCAGAGAGAACTGCTGACTCCTTTCTGTCTGAGGTTGGAAGAGGATATGATATGCTGCAGTGGAAAGAGCCTGGGACTGTACATCAGGAGATCTGGAGTCTGCTCCCAGCTTTAATTCTGTGTGGGAATTTAGACAAGTCATTCTTTGGGACCCAGCCTCCCCATCTGTAAAATGGAAGGTTGGGCTAGAGCATCTACAAAGTCCCTTAAAATTCTAATATGATGTTGTAAAGTTCTAAGTTCTGATATTCTGAATTCTATAGTTATGGCTAGCTCTACTATTTTAGATTCAAAGGCCCCTTCCTGATCTTACATTTTATGATTTTGTAAGTACCCTTCCACTAATACATTTTTATGTACAATTGTATCTAAATAGGGGTTCTTAAACTAGAGTTCATAAACTTATTTAAAAAATTTTTTGATAACCATTTCAATATGATTGGTTCTTTTGGTAATACTATGTATTTTAATTTATGCATTTAAAAATAATATTCTGAGAAGAGGTCTATAGGCTTCACCAGAT